GGCAGGTAGCATGGCCATCGTCCTGGGGCACACCTTCTGACAGCAGTGGTGGGCTGGGTGGCTGCAGGATGGATTCAGGTACTGCGTTACCAGCAGGAGAAATAACATCTCGGCACTGCAGTGTGATCTGCGCCTCCGCATACTGCTGGTGGTCCTGGTCTGGAGCAGCAGATCCACTCTGCACTGAGACCCAGCCTTGTGGATCTGTGTCCTCTAGTGTGTCAGCATCGAGAGCCTCCTGCCAGTGGCCAGGTCTGTTCTGTGCCTGGCAGTGCTGGGGCTGGCGGGGGGCATGGGGGGCACCAAGAAAGGAATCACGCTGCCTGACCTTCCAGTTGAGGGAATTCCCACCTGAACTCTGTCCTAACTGCTCCCACGCTGGGCTTTCTTGCTCCAGACCTGGGGTGCTTGTATTTCTAGGAAATGGTTTCCTAGTGCTAATAAAACATCTCTTTGTTAATGTCTTGCTGCTAATGCATCACGAGGGTGAGTAGAGCCCTGGCCCCACTCGTCCTTCCTGGGCGGTGCATGCTGTGGGGGCGAGGGCCGTTCTCCCCGGGGCTGAGGGTTGGCATTGCTTGTTCCGGGAGCCCTTTTGTCCTCACTTTGGCTGTTGGTATCAGAACAGGCTGCGGATCACAGCTCTGCAGGTACAAACCCTTCCTCGGGGACATAGTGGAAGCATCCTCATGGAGCACAGCCAGACCTGGCCTTGGGCACAGCAGGGAGCTGGTGGAGGTGGCTGAAGCTGGTGAGTTTTGGAGAGGGCTTGATTCCTCCCAGCTGTGTGACAGGCACAAGGCTGCAGCAGTTTGGGACTTGCCAGGTCCAGCCACTGAAGCCAAGCGCTTTCCCAGGTGGCGCATGGAACGCAGGCAGCATTGGTGACAGATGTGGAGTACGCGGGGCAGCGCCTCTGCCAGTGCCCACGTAAATGCCCTGCGCTCACCTGCACCTGATAGGCACAGCGTGCCATCTCCGGTTCCTTTCGTGCCGGCAAGGACTGATGGGTGCTGATGGAGTGCGGTCGCTGGGGTGTCTGCACTGGCTCTCTGCCTGGAAGGTGCCCCAGACCCTGTGTTGCTCCAGCCTCCGACCCCCAGACCAATGCGCCTTCGCACAGGCAGCTTGGGCTGGAAGCCGTCCGGTACCACCACCTCCCCGAGGGACAGCTGTCCGCGCTGGACGGTTAGCAAAGGACTCAGGGGAACTGTTCACTTGGAAATACTTGAATTTAAAGGTCATTGAAGCTGTAGGTCCTGCCAGCTTGCTGCAACTCCTGTCCCTGCTTGTGGAGAGCAGATCCACAGCGCAGCTTGCTTGGAGCTTTCCCATGTGCTCTGGCTGGCAGCACCACTGATCTCGGGGATTGCCAGAGGGCTGCAGTTCTGCCAGCAGCGAAAGGGTCACCCTGGACCCCAGCAAAGGGGGTTTCCATCCCTTCACCCCTTCTCTGAGCACTCTTGGCGGGCCTGTAGCCAATGGTGGCATCCAGGGAGTGGTACCGGCCTTCTGGGGCTCAGCCAAGCCTTGGCCCGGGTACGAGGTTCCAGAACACTTGGGTGTTCCCTCCCTGCCTAGGTCCCTGCCTACCCCTCGTCCCTGCGCAGGAGGCAGGGGAGGGCAGAGCCCCAGCTGCCCCTTCTCTCAGTCTCTCAGGTAACAGTCTCAGTCCTGCTGCTCTCCATCTCCAGAGGCATTTTCTTCGCCACTCAGTTTGGTATCATCAGCAAACGTCATCAGGGTACACTTGATCCCATCATCCAGATCACTTACGAAGATATTTTGTTATACATGGAAGCAATTAGGAACCCTCTTCAGCATCCCCTGGAAGAACACCTGGTTATCCATATGATAGATGGGCCATAAAACTGGTGAGCTATGCTCTTTGTGTAAGAGTCCTGGTCTATACACTTCTATCCTGATAGAGAAACATCTCCAGTAGCACAGCAACGAATAAATGAGGCTCTAAAAGGTTTTACTCTCAGGCAAAAGTGGCATGAGATGCATCACACTGGGCAGAGAAGAGAGCAGGGATAAGAGGACCAGTGCTGACATCTTTGCAGGTCCCTGACTGCAACATACCATGTCAGAGCTGATCCACACTGCAGGGACACTAGGCATCAGATCCAACAACGCTGAGATCCTCGTAGCTGTGTCTTGGCAGCGGGACTGAAAGCTGTCCAGCACGATGCCAGGCCATGGGCCGTGTCTGTGACACCGGCTCTGCCACAGGTGGGGACAGCATGGGAGATGTAGCCCGGCCTTGGTGGGAACCGCCGTGGTCTGGGAGGCTCAGACTGTGGGAGCTGGGGCAGAAGAGGAGAAAAGCAACCATGAGAAATGCAACCATGAGAAAAGCAACCATGAGAAAAGCAACCCAAACAGGAGGACTGACAGCAGTTCTGCCACCAATGGCTAGCCTGGGGATGCAAACGAGCAGCCCGCTGGAAGAGGGATTTCTGGCACCTGGAGCGGCTCCATGCAAGCCTGGAACATGTAAAGATGACAGATACCCCAAGGGTCTTTTCCTCTGTTGCTGCCAGACAAGGAGCTGCCAGGTTAGAGCAAGGGTTCTCGCATCAGTCTCCCAGCGCGTGGCTTTGCACTCACCTGCTTACGCACACACACAGGCCTGCCAAGACTTTATGTCTATAATCTGATTAAGAGTAATAACATGGATTAAAATAAGTGCGTGTGTGGGAGGAAACTGAGGTAATTGCTTTTAAAGACACCAGTGTTTCTTTTACAGCCAACAGCTCAGCACAACACTTCCGTCAGAGTTGCCTTTGGACTGCGCTCTCCAAGGAAGAGAACTGGGTGTTTGCTGCAAACATTGGCTTGCAACTTGTAGGAGAAAAGCTGTCTCATAATGGGAGTACTCGATCTGGGAGATGGATGCTGGAGCCGCTAGGTAGCCCAGGATAAATCATCACTGGAATGCCTGGAACATTTTAACCCATAAATTTTAGCACAAATGGTGCTGCAGGTAGATCTTTGAGCAAGACTGCCTGACCGCTGGGCGGCTGTGGGGCCAGCATCCGTGCTCCGCTGTGTCTCGCACCGGCGAGCAGAGGACAGTCGTAGCCAGTGACATGTGTAACTGATACTGCAAAAGGGTTCATTTCCCACAGCTGAGGAAAGCCCACATTAAACTTAATCAGGAGGAAATTTTTCAGACAGAAGAAACTTGTGAGTTTTTTTTCAGTTTCTTTGCAAGCAAGGAAGGGTAAGAGATTTAGAAGGATGATAAGCATTTGCTAGAACATAACACTTCTTTGAAATCAACAGACCTAAATGACTTGCATTGCACAAAGCAGTTTTTGTTAAAGCCATATTCTGAGACAGACTGAAAGAGCGACCGCTGCTCTGCTTGGCAACTGCTCTTGGTCAGACCAGGACCCAGCACAGGAATGGAGCGAGCATCTTTTCTCACCAAGGACGTGCAGCCTGCTCACTTGCTCCAGCCCTTTGACCACCCTTGCTGCCACTCTCTGGACCTTTTCCAGTTTGAGAAGGAGCCCGTAAGGATGTTCTGTTTTGTCCTCCACTATCACCTTTGCTCCTTTTACTAGCACTTGGTTTCCTTTTTGACCATCCCTGAGCACTGAACTGCCATTTACATAGAAAGAGCTATCATCCCCGGGAGATCTAACTCCCAAGTGGCAGTGGTAAGCTCAGAACTTATTAGTTCGCGTGCAAAATGTGAAATGGGTCTCCCTCTCCCTTTATTTACACTGAGTTGATCCTGCCCCTGTATCACACAGTGCTGCAATGTCCTGCTGCAGCTCCTCAGAGCCTAATTAGTGGCATTAGCTAACTCAGTGCTGTGAACAGGCTTTCTCGCCTCACACTGCCTCCGTGCCAGATCATTCCTGCACAGACTGAGCAGCAGTGGCGGTCTCTGTGGGTCTCCCCTGGTGACCTCTTTCCACAGGGAAAAATGACCCTTCTCCCCTGCTCCTGTTCTTTACTTGGTCACTTCCCAGCAAAGGAGCTGCCCTTTCTCCACGGTACCTGTGGCTCCTCGGCAGCCTTTGCCGAGGGACCTCGCCAAGGCCAAGCAGATGATCTGCCAGGCGCCCTGTGTGTACGCCGCACAGCTGCTTCAGGGACCCCTCCCGGCTCCCCACCGGCAGCAAGACTGAACCTGAGCAAGGCTGCTCACAGCTGGCCACTGCCACAGCACAGCTGGATTTGCCATCTCAGGGTGGCCTTGCCCCACCAACCTGGGGAGTCTCTGAGAGTCCCCCCCAGGCACGTGATGGCCAGCTTTGCTCTTGGTTGCCAGCTCTCCTGCCTGCCAGGACCGGCCAGGCAGTCTGACCCCGGCATTTCCGCAGCGGGGAGCAG